TATTGTAATAGGACCAAGATGGAAACTGCCAGGTACGTTGAGAGGATCTGGAGGTTTGCTTTGGATGTGTGAATGAACCATGGAACTTGGATGAACTCTAATCTCCAGGACAACAAAACCATAGTGTTTCCTAGGCCCTAGGCTGGTTTATAAGACCACAGGCTGCAACACCACTCCCATCATCCTCGGATTTCAGGAGCTTGGAACAGGTTCGAGAGGCCCAACGAGCGGAGGCGGCGACCATTTCGCCCACCGGCCGAGGTTGTCGAAGGAAGGAAGGTGAGAGAAAACGGCTGTGACGTCCGACTTCTCGGCGTTGAACCATCTGTGGCACTCTTTGGGACGTGAGATGCTTTTGACCGGCGATCTTGTGCAGCGACCGGAGAGAGAGAGAGAGACAGAGAGAGAGAGAGAGAGACACTGAGGTATTTGGGATGGTTGCGTCATGGACGGGTGACCGGAAGACTTGCCTATCCTTTGTTGCTCAAACATGCGATGTTGCGAGGACCAATCAATATGGTTCTATATTATTCTATTGTCACGTATCACGTATCTAATCACGTGAAGAAAGGTAGAAAAATGGGATATATAGCATGTGCATATGTTTAAAATGCGGTTCGTGCTCTTGAGCCCCATTTAATTGACAACGAGATGTTGGTCACAAAAATGATCTCAAAGTCAGGATTGTGGGGACCAAGAATTCAGGCACGACACTTGCAGGACAGTGAGTTGGATTGAAATATCCTTGACAAGCAGCATTGTCATAGCGCCTTCTATGATTGTGGTGTTTGAGACGATCCTTTTTTCCAGATTCAGCCACCAATCTTTTGGAATCATAATATCTCGACTGACTGCCATTGATAGGTTCCCTTCGGCTTGGGAATGCTTTGAGACTGTACTAGCCCAGGCCAATCCATGATCATGGATCAGAACAGATCATGTGATCCTTCCTGATGTGATAGGCGGCTCACGCCGAGAGCAAAATGCAGGCCGAACATCCAGTGGCACAGTGGCAGCTCTTTGAGTGAAGAACTGGAGATCATCGGAGATCCATTCGTCCACCGACCTGTGGTCTTTGGTGTTGGTGCAAGATGGTGCAAGGATGTTTGAGCTTTTGCAGGGGCTAATAAATGCTAATAATGATCTTAATGATCTTTGTTGTTGGCACTTTGTGTCATGCTCCTACTCTTGGTCAAGTCAGGTAGAATTGGCAAATACCCGATATCCTAGCAGCTTTGCTGAACCGTGTGGAACCGGGTATTTCATGTTCTCAGAAGAACTGAGTTTGGGTATCAGAGCTACACACCTCTTTTGGTGCGTGTTGAAGACTCTTGCCCATGCGTGATCAAGATTTCTACTTTGGAGGGTTGAAGAATGGGCCAAGAAGGGAAGCTTGGTGAATGATGATGGATGAACTCCTCTCCTGCAACCGTGATTTGTTGAGTTCAAAAAATAGTCACACCATGTTCGAAGACTTACCCCGTCAACCTCCAACCACGATGCCAGGCTGAACGCCAACGAGCCAACCTTGAGGCACCGAGCCGCTTGAGTTCGGCGATCATGTGCGTCTCTTGCTTGGAGGTCTTTTTACAATTTCCGATCACAAACAGTCATCCTGTGCAAGAGTATTGGGATGATCGCACAGATTCGATCTTCCCATGGATCGTGAAAGAACTTAGCTCGGAAAACTGCCCATTTCATGTCGCTTTCAGTGACGGGGTGTGTCTTGGTTTTAAGATGTTCGAAGTTTGCTTGGTGTACGTTGATGCAGTTAGACCCTTGTATCTTTTTGGGGCATTTCCAGATACAGGCGTCGCTAACCTATTTGTTCCTGGTGAATGGACGCTTGTGTTTGCATGTTGCATCGTTTCCCCATGTTTCGCTCACTCTTCGCAGACGCTGGGCACAAACGCCTTGCGCGAGCAGATTGACAAGCTCCATGAGAGTTTGCCCGGGTCGTCCAGCTTGTGAACAGCCCATCCTGGCCAAAATGTGAACACCTATGAACTGATAGTTGGTTAAATCATGTTACTGTAAATCCAAAGAGCACCCTGGCTGACAACAATTGGTGAAATGTAGATATATGATACCGAAGATTGCCTGTTTCCTAAAGTGTGAGAAGCCATGACTTACAGCTTATATTCAGTTTGTTGAAGCCAGATCAGAGATGCGTTTAGAAGGTGAACGCATTAGTTACTAGTTTCTGAAGCTTTGTTAGCCTTCATCGATCTCAAAGTCAAGTACTATATAGCTATGTATATAGAATATTATATATATAAGTTATAGAAGTGATGAAAAATCATGTGTTTTCTTGTTTTTGGATCGCTGCTTCCAGCTGCAACAATTCGCCGAGGAGGAAAGCAAAGGCCTCACCACCAAAGCCACAGGCGAAAGTGCATGTCACAGGGCATGTGATAGAAATTCTTTGATTTTTGGGGAGGAATCTGTCAAAGTATAAAGTCCATTGGAGTCTTGGGTGTTTTTTCTAGGTATGCGTAGCATAGTGTTGGAAAAAAACACCTGCAAAAAACGAGGCTGCTGAACTGGCTTCATGGCTTCATGGATAGTCAAGGCTGAAAAAGCGCATATGAGTTGTCAAACACATTCGCGACACCCGCATAGCATTTCTTCGACATTCGCTGAAGAGATTTCTACGACACCATTTCAAGGGGCCGTTTCAAGGGGCCGTTCTGCGACACCCAACTGTGAGATCCAACAAAACCGCAATCCTTCCAATGCAAAACCGCTCGCACTGATGATAGAGGGGCGCGGTCATGTGATAGACCTGAGCAACATTTCGCACATTTAGAAGATCCACTCAACAAGATGCTAATTTCTGAAATGTCAATGCTGATGCGCACAATCTCTACTGAAATCACCCAGATCAGAGAGGTCCTGCTGGTCACATTTTGAGTGAGAACCATTTGCTGTTCGCAAGCTGATCCTGGGCTTTGAGGGTGGCCTCATGAGCTTGCTGGAGGAGGACCTCCGGAGGATCAAGCAGCAGGCGATCCTGAGCAGCTTGTGGTACATCGAAGAATCAAGAAAGTCAGGTGGTTTGTGATGGTCTATGAAAATTCAATCTTTTCTGTGTTGTCTTCCCTGGGATTTGCGACGTTATTCTTTGTAATGATTGGGAGTGTTAGAAGGCCATGGTGAAAACGGGCTGGTGAGGGTAGTTGGATGGTAGGTGAGGGAAGTCCAGGCCCCAATAGTTCCGCCATGCTAAAACACAACTGTTGAGATAGGTCAGATAGGTCTTCGTACGATTTAAGACGCCCCACTACTCTCAGAGTATACAGTGCTCTCAAGAGCTCAACTGGGCTCAAAAGAGATTGCTTGAATATTTGGTGGCTTTGGGATTTGCAGCATTGCATGTCATGTAGGCAGATATATGCCTCAGGATCCCAATTTTGAGTCATTAGTGTTGTAATTACTTCGATTCGTTACTCCAAAATGCCAAATCACAATGAATTCCATGTATATATATATATGTAGTAATTGTTATCCTGTCGAATACCTTGCAGAATGAGTTTTGATGTATGGCAATTGTAGTGTGTTCACTTGTTGATGTACCTGGTATCGTTATCATATATATATAATCTTTAATGTTTCAATTTATGTTCACATTGAATTGACTGAGAAAAGGGGGACTATGCAAGAAGCTTCAATCACTTCCAGGTACCAGGTGATAGATAAGGAATCCAAACAATGCCTCATTACTCATTACAATTGCACTTCCATTCTCAAACCAAACCCCTTAGAAAAGAACGCCTTTGTACGAGTTATTTTTCAATATAATATAGAGAGGTGATTGGAGTACAATTTGTTTATTTCCTGTCACGTGTTGTACTGTGTTGTTGTTGTTGCTGTTGCCGTTGCCGTTGCCGTTGTTGTTGTTGTTGTTCTTCTTCTTCTTGTCGTGGTTGTTGTTGTTGTTGTTGTTGTTGTTTTAGAGCAAGTTTAGTTATTGTTGTGTTTATGTTTAATTACTAGCCAGTTTTAGGAACTATTTTTAGCGATACATTTTATAATTGCAGTTTTTTGCTGAGGACTTCACCCTGTATGATCCTGCTTTACAAATGCTTTTTGCGTGGCAATAGCTTTCTTTAGTTAGTTTGACTTTTGAATTATACAAGTGTTCCTTTGCAAAAGGTCTTCCTCTCAGCAAATTTAACATGACTGTTCATGGAAGACGCCTCGATGATGGCCAAATGCCATTGTGGAACGTTGTTCAACCCTACTGTGCGGGTTATTCAAATCAATGTCTTGCCCCGCTGTTAAAGTTGGTTTGACAATCACATTGGTCTCCCCCCAAATGATGTGAATTCCCCCAGACATTGGTCTGATTTGTTGGTCTTTTTTGATCAGACAGATGCTATTGCGTAAAGTGTTGTTCTTTTGGTCAGATGCTACTGACTGGAGATGCTTCAGATGTATATAAGTCAAATGCTTTTTGTTGAAACTTGAAACATTGCAAACAATCTCAGGTCACCTTTCCCCTTGTGTTGCTGTGTATTTTTCACACGCTTTGTGAACACAAACCATGTATATATATAATGTATACAGGTACCCCCTCCAGTTACAAGTGAGACCATTTAAACGATAACATGGTCCTGGTCACCTTCAAGAATTGGGTCTTGGGAAAAGTTCCTCATCAGCAAAGGTGTATTTATGAATGTACATCCCGGAGTTCTTGTGTTTTGTGAAGGTCACAAGTCATACTTGTTGTTTTGACCAAACATTTATGACAGAGGTGGCCGAAAAGGGCAGAACACAATAGCAGAGGCCTTTCATTGACGCAGCAGCACTTTCTGTTTCGATTGAAAGAATCAGAACCATGTTTTGCTCTGCTGCTGCTCCTGCTGTTTATTTGGCAGGGAAAGGATTGTCTCAGACAAGTGTCCTTTCAAGGATTTCGGTAGTAAAGATCTCGTCAGATAGATTTCGTCAAGGTATCATGGTGCCTCAGTTGTTCTGTAACACATCCTCAATTCCAGGCATCCAATGCGGAGCAGCAAGCTGAGGCTTGGGCTTGGGGCACTGAGAATACCTACTGTAGTGAACTAGTGACTAGGGCAGATAATTACCATCCAGCTATTCTAGAGAGTTTATACGGTTCCTACCAATTGGGATGATTCCGTGGGTTTGATGAATACGCTTAAACCTATTGTAGATAGATCTCCATTCTTCAGCATGTTGATCTACTGTGCACGACACATGGGGTGTCTCAAACTTATCAATACTGCAGCGTGAATTGCCTGGGCTCCAGTCCAGGATGACCCCTTTGCATCATAGAGTCGATGCTTTAGAAGCACCAACCAGAGCAGAGATGCACCCCGCTTGCATACCTGTCGGCTTTACATAAGGCACCAGGGATTAAACACTGAAGGGGGTCAGTTTGGACCACCCAAATATCACTGTCGATTTGTCAAGCAGATTGTTTGGACGGGAAGGTCTCATTTCTGCATGGGCTTTGTACCAGGATTGATCAACAAGGCATCTCGCCAAGGCCAGGCCAAGAAAGGTTGCAGATTGACGGTGAGGTTGGTCATAGTTATACAAGAGTTCAGACCAATGTTTGTCGGCAGAGTTTAGCAAGGAAACATATTCAATGCAATGCTTGTCATGTTTGACCTGCTTGGAGCTGGTTCCCTTTCCTGCTTGTCAAGTTTCCCTGTTTGCTCCGTGCCGCTGAGGAAAAGGCAAAAGAGCTCTTGCGGACCAAGCAGCAGCAGAGGGATGTTCAGGCACGGCACTTGCTGACGGTGCGCAACCAACAGAGTCCAGCAGCAGTGCGCTGTGGATTGGAATCTAAAGGCAGGCGGCAAGTGCACTCGGTGCCACACTGATCTAGCGGGATCTAGCGGGCCCTTCAAAAGGTATTGACTATATAGATGTGCATAGTCCCTGTGCATACATTCGGGTCTTGATCCCCTCCTGCCTTTCACACATATCCCAAAGCTTGTGTTTCCAGAAACACCGAGGGAACAAGAAAGAAGTATATGTTATAGTTATATTGATACATCCTTTTTCTTCGTGGAACCCCTCTGCTCGAGAATGCATTTTCAACACCTGTCCCCTCATTGGAAGAAATGTATGAACCCTCCTCCCTTTGCTATTATGTGACAATATAGTAACAAGGTTCGCTACTAGGAACAAGTGCATCGCTACTAGGAACAAGTGCATCGCTAGTAGTAACAGGTGCCTTACTAGTAGTAACAAGAAGCTACTAGACTTATTTGCTATTCATCAAACCTTTCTCGTTCTTTTGGAGGAGCGACATGCGTCACCTACCCGCTTCAACATCCCCAGCCCACACAAGTGACCGCATGTCGGTCAGCGGTTCCAGGGCAAAAAGATTGCCTCAGCTTAAGCCAACATGAACCCGGAAAATGGAACCCAACAGAAGGACAAACATGGGACCGTGCAAGACAATTTTCCTCTACGAACCGTTCTTTTTCCCGGGGGACAGAAGCCTCCCAATGATCCACTGGATAGAGGATGAGATTGTGCCGAGCCAACATAGGTCCAAGCTGAAGAAGAAGCCATTCAGGTGGCGACCCAGATGTCGTCATTACATTGCAGATCATTACAGTACACTGGTTATTTGCCACATTGACGATACAATGGACTAGTGACTATGTTGGATGAATGTATTTCATTGTATTTTGTTTGTTGGAAGCTTAGTTGCCAATCTCAAGGTTGGGAGATGACAGCTTGTGGTGTGTAGCGCAGAAAGTATTTGCCCAGCCGGTTCAAGGGCTTTGCCACGCTTGGGTTGCCGATGACATGGTTCATGGTGAGAGTTTCAAAGGTCAACAGATGAGTGAAGGGTGTGTGCCCTTCTCCCAAGGACGTTTGTCGTCCAATAACCACCGTTAAGGTTTGCCACTCATGTAACATGTAGGTGTGTTTCAACAAAGGCCGCTTCCCCACTAGCAAATCCACTACGCCAGATGGCCCGAGGTGAAAGCTAAGATCCAAGAGATTTGGCGACACCTTGCTGTTCGGAGCCTGGTGGAATCACTCCAGGAGGGAACATGTCTAGCATGTCCATGTTCAAGTGAAGGAAAGTGTAAATCACATCAAATCACACCTCAAAAGTACCTTATAGTTGTTATCTTCATGAATCTTCATGTTTGATTGCTTCCTGTGCCAGCCAGTTGTTGCGAATACGCTAGTTTGCGCGCTGTTGGAGAATCTACGTTTCGGATTTGACACGTACCGCTTTCCAACAAAATCATCAACGCTGAAAGAATGGAAGTCTTTTGGAGCAAATCGCAAGTCGTAGAGAGTTTTCTTTAATCCACAACACAGCGTATGCTCGTGGGAGTGCAAATAGTGTGGCCTTTGGTCTTTGCGATTCGTGCTCAGATTGAGCATTCAGGATCAGTGAAGCCGTGTCCAACTGTGAGAGTTGTGTGTTTCATCGCCCATCACACTCACCGAGCTCCAAGATCTCCGAGGGTTAATTGGAAGCCCTCAATATGCTGTGACCAATATACCCGACCCGACCTTTCATGTCGTTTGAGCTTGTTGCCGGCAACGATCCCAAACGCCACAGTGCAAGACCTCCTAACTGGCAATCGCCTACTCGCGGATGCCAAACAACATCAAACATTCCGATGTCCATATCAAGATATAAACCAATCCCCTTAGACCAGATCCGATTCCGTTCAAACGCCTTCGCCACCTGATAAGGCCCATTCCCAGAAGGGTTGTATCATCGAGTCTCATCACATTGAGCACGTTCAACCGGCACCCATCTTTCCCATGACAGAGTGGAAACAAGAGGAGTGGGCCGCGCTGAAGAGGACTGGGCGACTGGTGTGGAGTAAACATGCACAATATAGACTTAGACATTGCATTATATACGTCTAGGCACAAACTCACACATACATGTACAGAATGCCTGCAAAATCTATGTGCTTGCCACGGCTGAGGCTGGATGAACTTTGAGATCTTTGAGAAAGCTCGCTGTCCGGCTTTGCCAGTGCTGAAAATGGCCAAACATGTGGCTGGTCCAAACCAAACTCAAACAATCTGAAGCACAAACGTCTCGAAGAGATTCGAAGAGCACAATTCCGATCATTTTGTTCAGTCGCATGTGTACTGATGTCCAGGCAGTTGATCCGCCGCATCACTGTGCAGAAGGAAGCTCTTCGGTTGGGTGAAAGATTCGGTTGGAACTGAGATCGGTCGGGGAGAACAAACCCCTGCCATGCGTCCGATGCTTGCCAGGTGAATGACATACCTCCCACGTAGGCCTTGTACACTCAAATCCTTGTTCCTAATAGCTTCTTGTTACTACTAGTAAGGCACCTGTTACTACTAGCGTGGCACTTGTTACTAGTAGCTTCCTCATCATAGTATCGTTTTGGAACGGAGTAGATGCAGCCGTTTTGTCCCAAGCTGGATTCGGCATATTTCAGCCAACTTTGCATGGCAAAGAATGAGTCAAGCCAGGAATGCACCGCCAGATTCTGTTTGCCCTTTCTATGAAGCTGCGCGGGCATGCCACCCACACACCTCATAGACCGAATGTGTTGAACTTGCCCCTCACAAATTGGCAAGGAACAACTAGCACGTCATAATATAGTCATAAACTATCATCGACATGGTTGAGTTGTCCCCACTCAGGGTCACTAGCTCTTTCAATCAGACGGAGACGCAGTGGTTGGATTGACCCTCCCAACCAGCCACTTATCTAACAAACCAACTCAAATCAAGCTCGGCAGGTAAGACCTTGGCAGAGGCCACCAAGCCGTTGCAAGCCTTGATTTCCTTCGCTTTACAATCCTATATATACATATCAACAAGCCATCCCCAACTGACCCGGGACCCGGGTCTTGTAGATACTCAAGACTCAAGACAGACTTCTAGTCAGGAAGGAAAGTCCTTCGCACCCCATGGCGGCACGACCAAGCGTTGGAAAGCGGCTTTCGTCAACGCCAAGGCCAGAATCCACAGGTCAAATCGCAGGGATTGTTATGGCCACAGGTCTATTTGAGATTTTGCAATGATTTGCATATTATTTTTCCAGGTTGTGCTGCCTCCAAGAGACTTCTGGGAGGGCGTTCATCCAGAAAGGTTGCTTCCACTTCCTAATAAAAAGTAGTTCTGTTATGCTTGCAGAGACGATTCGGACTTTGCAAGGAAGACTCAAAATGACCGTATCATCACATGTGCTGGTCATGTAAACCATAATTACATGTCAACATGTCATGGACATGGCAGCCATACATGCAGACAGTCACCATTCATGCCTCCGAGTGAGGCCTGGCAGTGCAAAGCATCCGCGTTTTGGCGCCGTCCCGACGCCCTCGCCCTCCGTCCGCTTCCGGTCTGCCTCCACGGTGCCCACGCCGCGACCAGCGAAGCCCACGGCCGTGAGACCGGCCGCTGCATGTGGCTGGCCACCTCCAGAACTACAGGAAACACCACTCACACCACTCGAAACAGCCATTCCGCCGGAGCCAGCGAAAGTGAAAGTCCCGGTGCCGGAGCCTGCAGTTCCACCAAGAGTGCCAGCCGCAGTTCCAGCAACTTGGTGCGCAATGAGTGCCATTGGATCAGCCATTTGGTTTGTGTTTTGTTATGACATGTTATTACTCCTTTGGTCTAGTATTGAGTTGATTGTGGTCGTCGCTGTCGTTGCTGTGAGTGTTCTTGTTCTTGAACAGTTTAGCTGGTGGTGTATGTTCTAAGTCCATACACTGAAAATAAGCAACAACATGTTTGTGTTCTATTTCTAACTGTATTATAAGATGATAACTACGTGTCGTCGTCCATTTGTTGGTCCATTCGTATACCTTCCTGCAGTAGTATTGTTGCTGCAAATCAATATCAGCAGGAGCAGCAATGTTGGATTCACGATTCTGCGTATGTTCAGTGGAATCATTTGCCCAACTTCATGTCACTGAATGTCTGGGTGTTTCACGGTTTTTCTAGAGTTTTTAGTTTGCCATCAGATCAAAATGGCTTGACCTCAGGTATCCCGGAAAGCACAGGAGCGGCATGGGCTGGGTATAAAGGGGGCTCCGTGGCGATGGACTACAACCCCTTTTGATCCCTTTTGGACCTTTTCGTTAGTGTTACTCTAGTGACTCTAGTGGAGGGTGGTTTCTAGGTTGGAACCGACCTGGATTCGCTCACAGTAGCAGCTGGCTCGCACAAGTTATATCACAATAGAAATAATACATGTTGTAAATTCTCTATATTTATCCAGTTGTTCAAATTGCAGACTTAAAGAGACCACGAAAGCTGCGGGATTGATCTTTGTCGTTTGACTCTACCTTCGGTGCAGGAGAAGCTGACCGTCTACACTGAAGGCCATTGCACAGAAAGCAGTGTCCCCCATGCGATGGGCCAACAAAACATATTTATACCTCCACTTAAAGCCACTTTGTGTCAAGTCTGCATTGGAAGAATCTAGCAAAACCACACATTCGGGTGTCCGTCCAATGGAGGCTTAGTCTAGAATGCCCATGTGACCCACGTGGATGGTCAAGATGGTCCGGAGCCTTTTGGTCCGAGATGTCCGCAAGCAGCTAAAGTCAGCTAGAGACACCATTGTGATTCCGTGATTTGCAAAAGAGATAGAGAGAATGATCACGAACACTTACAGATGCGGGATGGTGTGTGTGTGTGTCATTGACAACCGTGCTCACTTCCATAGTGCAGTCAGTAGCTCAAGGTAAAACTCTGGAGTACATCAAATGTGATTGGACTTCATTTGTGGTGGAGACATGCCAGATCTTAAGCCCATCAACAAGGCGTTGTTTCATGGAACCCCACACTCAGGAGCAGCATCAGAAACAAACATCGGGATCGGCTTCAGTGTTCCAACTGTTCAGGAGTTGTGGGAATCCTCCAGTGTGTTGGATTCGGACAATGGAAAACCATGGAAAACCCAGAAAATGAGTTTCCCCCATGTGGCACCCCACGATTGTCCACACTTCACCGGCTGACATGAGTGTCCTGCACAGGTTCCGGTGAGTTCGGGAAAGCCGTGCCTGGGCAGCCTGAGGTTTCATGCGTCTTGTGAAAGAAACTATGCATTGTGTCCACTGTTTGTTATTTTGTGCAATGATGCTTTGCCCACTACATTCATGCACAAATTCTAGAATCAATCTGACTATATACTGGGTGATACCAACAGGTCATAAGTCATACAGGCATATTTGATTTGCTGAAATATTTAACTTTAGCCTATGTTTGGCGTACGTACCTGACACGTTGGTCAACAGGCAAAAGCACCCTCCACCACCTCCATCGTCAACAACCCCCTTGGAAGCTGTTCCACGGTTCCAATCCTTCCAATTCCGCATGTGCCTTACGAGCCTTACGCGTATTTGTTTATGCAGATGCTTTACATGTAAATGTGTCGAGTTTGTTTTAATGCTTGACCAGACCCAATTTTGGTGGGTTTACTGTTTGACACTTTAACAAACATGATTGATAGTGAAGTGACACTCAATAAATGCACTATCTCAATCTCTATATATACATATACATGCAGACATCGTTGACACCATGTTTAGCAAATGTTAACCTAAGCCTAAGCTGTTTTCACCCGGCTTCATCCAGGTGAAAGCCATCTCTGGTACCTACGTTGAGAACGGCACAGCTTGTGGGCGGAAAACCTATGAGAAGGAGGGCAATGAGGAAGGGCTGCGCGAAAAGCGAGAAATACTTATTCACCTGCCAAGGCATTTTGATTTGATGTGTACAGGCGATCTATGGCAGAAAATATCATCATACTGTACTGCCGTCTAGTTTCAAGCACAAATTCAATGGACTTTTTGTCACATGCTGCATCAATTTCAATCACATCTGAATGCGTGTCATGCATCGGAGGCTTAGGGATCCAAAAGACCCCGCCCTTTCCTCCTTTGCAGGGTGACTTTCGTAACCAGCCGGAAAAGGTTGCGAACAACGTGTTTGACGTCTCCCAAAGAGGAACAATTCCGGCAATTTGTTGGGTAGGTTGCAACTTCACAGTGCCCACAGACCAATTTACAGCACGAGAAAGACTTGAATCATAGTCCCAGTGGAAAAGGAGCCAGAGCTTCATGACTCCCTGTCATGTTGTGATTCCATTTGAGCCAAGTGCCCAAGACACGTTGGCAGGATTCCAAGGTGATCATCTATTATTGGGACGATCGAGATGGTCCTGATTTCCAGGCGGGTGTGACTACTTTCACTCTTTCCTATGTTTCATCACAGACAATGTGTTTCTCACAGCCTAACCATTGCAGCCATTGCAGCTTCATGCTCACTTAGCGGCCTGAGGAGCCTTGGCATTCAAGTCCAGTGTGACCCGCTTGTTTGAAATCTTGGAGGTTGCCTCAATCACCACCCGTACACCACATGGCAGGTGAGACTTGAAATTGAACAGGTCACTACAGGTATAGATCCCTCATTTTCAGCAAAAGAATGGAAGCTACGCCAGTGAGTGACCTTCAGGAGTTAGAGGGTGCAGAGAATTCAATAGCGGAGCACAGGGAACTCTTTCCACACAAAAACCGACTGTGAACGGGAATCACTCAGCTTCAAGCCATCTTTGCGTTTGTTCCAACTGTTCAATTGCGACCAAAAACCGGATATGCAGCCCTGTGAAGCCTTGCACTGACTCGTCAGGGATGGTGGTTTGGCAACACATTGGCTGGACCACAAGCATTTTGGAATGAACTGGTTTGCTCGGTTTGTTCTTTGTATGCGAGTCCGAGTATATGGTGTGTCAGATGCTTGAAAGATGCGTGTCAGGTTGGTTTCTCCAGAGTAAGTGTCCAAGAACAGTTCGTCTTCGGATCATCAAGTTATTTTGGTCACAGCCACAGCTCCCCAGCCACTTGCATTAGCATCCTATGGCAGAAGTGCGACGCAAGTACATACTCAATTCATCTCAATTCTCAGACCAAGGGTGATGAGATGTACCATCCTGTAAAACGCTCCACATGGGATCTCCCTTTGCATCACTCAACCTTAACCCTTGGTGATCACTTTGGTGATTGGATGGGATTGGTCAAGGTATGGGCACGTTGCTTGGAAGACTCCACGCGACCACCCATGCGTGGCTGGAGGATCCCTTGGAACGGGGAGGAGGAGGCGGATGAGGGGACCGCTTGAGATCTGCGGAACGGATGACAACGGGAGGAAGGTGGATCAAGGAGGAAGGGGAGATTGGATCAGATGGATGATGTGATCTCTAGATAAACAACTAGTGGATTTTCTAGACTTGATCCAGTTTATGCCTACATCCTCCAGTCATCTCCAGTACTGATGGTACAGTCTGCCATCAGGAAGCCTTGCGTGTGGAGCTGGAGGCTGACAGGCATGGTTGGCGGCCTCGCACGGGTCTCCAAACGACAAGCCCAAGGAGAACGTAGTGCAGGATATGATGAGAAAGACACTATTTCAACGATTTTTGACCTGCAGAGCCTTCTCCCATGTTTATCATCCGAGTGCTATGACTTGATCCACGTTGCTTTCTAAAAGGTTCTAGTTCTATGTGTTTAGCATCCGTACATGCGCGAGCCTTGATTTGGTCCATGTCTTGCTGTCATTATTGGAGGCTTGACGCGATACATGTGAATTCAATGTGCAGTGTCTTGGCTTTGTGCTCATGTGTCAATGATCCAGGCAAGAAAGGCTTGCAAGGCCTCAACTTGATGATCTCAAGCAGCAGGCGCAAAAGCTGATGCTTGCAGCGAAGAAGGTCCAGGAGCTGATAGGGAAATGTCTCGGATGGGAGAGATTCGATCGTCGCCAAAGGGCAAAGTGAATGTTTGTGCACGAAAAAGACTATAGTAGAGACCCTGGAAGCCTTCGCTCTTGGAGGGGTCCGGTCTCTATTCGCCCACCTTGGTCGGGGAGGTCTTTGTTGGTTCCTTTTAGGTCAATGGCGAAGGCTGGTTTTAGGTGCCATGCCTTGATAGTTTCAAGGATTCCATGGCCCTGTTTGAGTGCAACTTCTAGTTGAGTGCGTTCTGGGTGTTGGCTTGAAAGAAGATGCCATGTCTCCCGCCTGCTGACACAGTCACCATACACAGCAGCCGGTTTCTGGAAGCGGTCCCTTCAGGAGAAAGCCCGAGTGGTTTGGAACAAAAAGCAGATTGAAGAGGTGAACAACCTATTGTCTCGTGGCTGGTAGTGTGAAGATGATGCTCGACCTGCGTGTTCGACGTTTTTGTAGCATAAGATGGCAAGACCGCTCATTGTGTGGCTTAGGTGCATCAGCAGGCAATTTGCACGGCTAAGAGGCACTTTTGCTATCCGGTGATGGAATGGGGCTGGGGTTTGGCCCTTTCTCCTTTCTCTTTCTCTTCTGCACTTCAGTCTAGGGCACGAGAAGTGAAAGCAGTACTGCGGGCTATGCTCTCAATTTAACTCCTCAAACAACTGACAGAGTGGGTGGGTTCGTCATGTTGGGGAAGTGGCCACTCCGAGTGTCGGATCGTGTGGAGGATCTGAGATACCACTGAGCAGTATCCTAGACATCTTACAGCAGATCTCTTCCTTCCTATGCAAAATAACTGGGTAATTCCAAGATCGAGCATCTACAGCGATTCAATTGGCTTGGCTAAGGGCCGAGCTATCGCAGATCGGCGAAGCCCTGCGAGACCTGGCGAAACAATCGTGGCTGTCAAAACGGCAAAAACATCGCATGGCCACTGAAGAGAGATCCTTTGGACACTTTGGAGATGAACGCTTTTTGATACCATCCTACCTGATGAGTTGGGAAGTTCCATATATATATATACATAATTAAGCATAATTAATCATTAGATTTTATTGTTGGTTTTGTGTGTGTGTGTGTCCATGTTCTTAATGAGTACTGTATATTGTATGTTGATCTGACCGTGTAGGCTACAAGGTGTTTTCTTCTCCCATGTGTCATGAAGTGTGCAAGCTGTTCTTGTGTGGAAGAGTCAGTTTCATCGCTTTCTCAAGCCCAACTGGGCAGAGTGGGCCATTAAATGCCATTAAATCCACTTCCCACAAAGACTAACAACAAAGTGACATGTTCCCAAGTTCAAATTACTTTGTTCCTTGCACGTGTTGAGATTGAGACAAAAAACTGTTGGATGATGCATTCACTGCCAACCCTGCGACCCTGTTCTGGTAGGGAACGGTCAGATCCACTTCAACCAAGGAGAGATTTCGAGCAAGGCGGCGGCCATTCCAAAGCCCAACCGCAGCATGTTGCTTGGCCTTCAACCCTAGCAAGGGCATCACTATTAGTAACAAGGGCATTACTAGCAAGAAGCTACTAGTAGCAAGGTTTTTGCTGAAATGATGAGACAAAAGGATGAGAGTCAATGCTGAGGTGAAGAACAATTGCAGTCGGTTTGAGTGCCCACTACATAGGGTATTCTGGGCAAGGTGAGGGGTGATAGACTGATAGACTCTTAAAGGAAGAGAGCTGGGGACTGTGGTAGTGCACGTTCTTCTTGTTTCTCACACACTTCTATCTTATCATGGTATGTTTATATTATATTTAAGTATAGATATATGTATCGAAGTTGTCTATCATATCATATGTTTGTTCGTTGATATTAATGTATATATATTCTTAGATTTACAATACTCTATGAAAGGACCAATATGATAATACAATTCAAAGTTACTTTGATATAATAGTTGTTCCAAAAAAAAATACAACACTGTTTAGCAACGAGTTTAATTCCAAAATGCTCATGCTGAGGACGTCCTGTTCTTGGAGAGCAGGATGCTGTGATATTAATATTGTAAATTCCTTGGTAAAAAAAAGGTTGTTCGGTAGACACAAAACATTAAATCAGTAGTTAGCCAGGAAGCCAAACGGGAAAATCCGGGACAAGCAAAGCCAACGCCGCTGCCACCATCCTGGCGCCTTGGAATCACCACTTCCACTACTACTTATGGGTCAACTTGCAACGACTACTACACGTTCGATCAAAGATGGATCCCTACTACTAGTGCCAGGCGTAAAATAAGGCAGTCTGAACAGTAAAAATCAATCTCCGGACCCAGTTGACCCTGTTGACCCACTAGTAGCAGTAGTGGTGGTGTCGGTGGTGGACCCACTTGACCCGGTGGCTACGCTAAATCCCCTGACTCAGTTGACCCGGTTGAGGTCAACTGGGGCAACTCTTGCTCGTGAGTGGAGCGTGGGCGAAGAAGAAACGTGTGTGGAGAACAACTTACTTTCTGGAGCGCAGATACAGGACATTTCAACAATGCTCGGACATTTTGATAGTCAGCCTTCAACCTTGCTACGGTCTTCCCCGAGGGGAAACTCCTTCTTCATGCAGAACGGGACGGGATGGCCAATGGCATTGTGTGGCTTTGCAGGTGTCAGAAGACAAACCGCACGTGTATGTCAGTGGCGGATCCAAAAAGTTCACTCCAACCTGGACACATCTCCTGGCGCGGTGAGGAAGGGTATCGACCACCGCACTGCTGGCTGCTTCTGCTTCTCCTTGACGGATGGAGCCCGCGCACTGGAGGAAGCACAGCTTCTCAATCTGCAGGCAGGCTCCGCTCGCTGTTTCAATTTCAGAAAGTGGATCAGACGAAGAACTTCCTGAGACCACCTTCAATATGGATGATGATGGGAGCTGCATGTTTGAAGATGTTTCGCGATTCTTTGGAAGAGGAGGTAACTTCTTTCCTACTCGTAGCTGAGATTGGCAAGGCAATATTCGAGCTATCGACAGCGTCTTTCGTTGCACCCTTTGCCCCATTCAAGCTTTCAAGTGAATGTGTCAACTCGCTGACCATGTGCGTTTATATCACGCGCTTGTACAATTTGCTTGCTCAGGCACTATGCAAATGGAAGTGGTTTTGGCTTTGCACGGCGCAGGCTGTGTGCGCCGAGTGTAGAGCCAGGACTCTCAAAGTGCTCTAGGTCTTCGTTCGCGCATGTTCGCGCCTCTTTTCCGCCCACCTCCAACCACATCGACAGGCTCATCGGCTCTTGTTTTCAACGGACGGACCAGGCTTGTGAACGAAGCTTCGTTGAGGGGCATGGGAGCGTCCAGAACATCTAGTACGACCACTCTTTCGCAGAAGTTCTGTTCGGGAAGTTGTTCTCCATTGCTCGTGAATATTGTTCCGGATGTCGTTATCTTGTTCTTGATGTTGTGGCGTTTGCGCCATTGCATTAGATCGAGCGCACTATAGCGTATTATTACTCTATTCTTCTTGCGCACAGCTGCAGTGCCAGGTGAAGAGCACTTCTTAACGGTTACACCTTCGAATGATGGAGGCAGGCAATCCGCTGGGCAACCGGTATCCGAACCATACTCGGCATTGGTGGCCTTTGGTCGAGGACCTTTTGAGTGCAGCGGAGGTGAGAGGGTTAAGGCAAAGAATATTCGACACCCTTGAGCAAGCCCATGAATTTGAAGTGCTGTACACCGATGGGACATTATTGTCTGTAACCCTGCAGGGACAAGCCCCATACCGCGCATCATCAGATGTTCGCAATGCTGCTGGCTTTGGAGAGGATAGTGCTTTGAGATGGATTTCGACAATCTGTGGACGAACCAGCTCCACGCTGGCAACGCGCGCTGTCGGAAGTGAAGACGCAGAGAGGGCGGGGCGCGGGAAGTTTTTGAATTGAGCTTTTCAACACCTGGTGGAAGTCCTCCTCTACGTTGGAGCCAGGAGAAGCGTGTTATTTGATATACCAGCACAGATATCAGGAACGCGGCCAAGGACTTCATTCACATGGTTTTGCTGTCATGTTTCTGCACACAGTATGACGGTGAAACTGAATCAAGCGAGACTCACCGGCCTGTTTCGACGGGGAACGGCCGGCCGGGTGGCTTCTTCGGAGGCCGATAGATTCCCTGTCGCAGACAAGTTAATGCATCCACCTGCTGCGGCAACATTGCGTCACACACAGATATCACGATGTGGGCGATGGGTAGGTCGTCTCCGCAATCTTCACCGACCTTCTCGTTCGTCGAAGCCGAACTTCAAGGGGGTGGTCCTCAATACTCAAGGCCGCAATTGGCGTTTACTAAGTCATGCTCACAAACTTCGTGCACTCATACAGACTGCACGGGAACGGCAATTGTCCTTTGTGATGTTGTCTGAACTTCATGTTTGTACAGAGGATTGGCAAGATCCAGAACTGATGAACAACACCTTCGGACAGTTTTGTCCACCTGGGGTGAGGACTTCAATGTCGACAAGACGGATCGAATTCCGCTGGGAATGCCACTTCAGGAAGCTTCCAACCTTGCCCAAGTTCCGATTGACACTCTTCAAGCAGAAGCCAAATTTCTTGGGGCCTGGATCACGAACACTGCGGGAACACGTCAACTTCGATGGCTGGGCCACACAGCTCGCATGCCTGACGATCGTCTTGAGAAACAGGCACTATGGCTCTGGTTGTACACCGCTGAAGAACCTCACCGCGGTCGACGCGTGACCTCCAAGGGCACGATCGACGCCCAACGAGCGCTTTGGGCTCGACTACAAGACCTTCGCAAAGCCTTGGGAATAGCAGAAGCTGGATGGTCCACCAATTGGATCACCAGAGCCACGGCAACTCTGCGCTCGGAGCGGGATGCCACTTTACGTTCAGCAGGGCCCCGGGAGCATGGCGCGCTGCATCTTAGTTGATTTCACGGGTCTGTTTCCAAGTGGAGATATCTTTCCTCCATTGCGAGCCATGGCCTGAGTTAGCTGGACTGACCCGGACAGATGACGGCAAAGTACCCTGTCCAACTGCAGTGAGCCCTTCCCTGTCAATGCAGTTTGGCAACATGTCACTACATGTGCTGTTCTTCCTCCTCATCGTCGTGAACTAGACAAAGCAGCCCGGGCCCGACGCAAGCAGCGTCAACAGGCCACACTCCAACCTTTTGGAGAGCAAATACAAGTAGCACCACCTCCCATTCCCCCGCCCAGGCACCGCCCCTTCCACGCCGTCGCTTGCGTGGAAAGCAGCCGGCTCCCCAGTTCCATCCCCCGGCGCCACCGCCGCTTCCCAATCCGGCCCCCCAGGCAGTTCTTCGCAGACCTGCCGCCAACAATCCTGACGCGGCGCCCGCGGCACCTCGAACTCAGCGCCGGATTGGGGTGTCGGACCTCCCAGCTTGGTGGCCTCGAGAACCTGTGCTACCTCCCCGAACATGTCAGTTCGTCACTGTGCAGACAAATGCCCTATGACATATGGCTCCACGGGGTCAGACCTCTACGGCCCCACCTGCGTAGCAGCCACAAATGCCCGCAGCGGGGCTGAGGATGACCACGATTCTTTTCATTTTTGCCAAGAAGTACAGAGTGCATGTTTTCATTTTCGCACCATGAGAGATTTCCTTTTTTGCTCAGCTTTGTCTTCACTTGTGCTAGCCATGGCCGCTCTCCAGCATTCGAGACCGGAAAACCGCCCGAAAAGGCAAGGGCGATGCCAAGGGTTCTGGCAGAACGGCCACCCAGTCCAATGAAGCTTCCTTGGTTCAGGGACTGGCGCGATTGACTTTGACGCAGCGACCCATGCTTCGAGCTGCCTTTGAATGCCTTTGACACCAATAGTGTCACCTTTTTGATTTCCCCGCAAAAGACAAAGCAGAAACTTGCAGATCTGGTCACCCAATGGTTCCAGCAGCTCCAAGAGCACAAGGACCAGAAAGGGTACCTCCCCTTTGATTGCCCGCGCCAGGTACTTTGTTTCCAGTTTTTGCGCAAGGCTCTCTTGGACTCCAAACCAGCGGAGGCGGATGACTCTCACCCTCCTTGGTCCATTCTTAAAGACTGGCTTGACCTATCTGTTGGCGATGCCGCTCACTACATCTCGGAATGCAAGGTGTCAGCCATGCCTCCTCCGACCTTCCGGGCTCATTTGGCCGTGCTATTGACCCACAGTGACACATGGCAGGGAGCAGGCATTGAACTGCTGCAAACGAAGTCCAGCACTCCACAGCTCGAGAAGCAGCTGTGGAAGCAGCTGAAACCTACTCAATGATGGCAGAGCTTGAGGGTTTCACCGTGCATGCTTGTGAGGACGGACACCTGATGGTCGACTCCTATGACTTCTTTCCGTTCTTTCCTTTGTGATACAGTTCTTTGCGGAGGTCCCATCGCGGCCTCCACCTCCCCCTGAGGGGTGGAAACGGCACGGTGATGAAACGACTCATCACTGTGCGCCCACGGAAGGTGGAAACTTTGTATATTCTTTGTCTGCCAGGTGATGGTCGACCGCAGATGCACCCGACCATGCTCTACCACCTTGACAGCTTTTCAACACGGGCCTTGACGCAGATCAAATATTGAGAGCAAGTATTTAGCAAGTAGTTCACAAAGCTTAAAATAAATATATAGTCATAGTGTTATTAATGAACTAGCATTTTCTTTCTCTTTAGATAAAATTCTCACAGTCTGGTTACGATAATTGTGGTTTTTAGGTAGTGGCACTGTATACAAGTAGAATTGTGTCTCTATGTAAGCGTCCAGACATACAACCTCTAACAAGTTCTTATCTGTTTCTGTTCTAGCTTTTATCCACTACCATGTACACTGAATAGTAGTCATAAAATATTCATTTTGTATGCATTGCATTGTCGTGTTGATTCCAAGCTCCTTTCAAACCATAGTTCATTATACCAACGCTTAACTCTTTTTATGTTTTTGATGACTAATCAAATGATATCTTTTTGTCAAACTTAACCAACGTTCAGATGTTCAACTGTTCTTCCGTTGGTCATGGCTCCTTATTTCCAGTGTCTCCGTGCATCTATTACACACTAAAGCTACAAACTACCTTCGCAATATCATTTGAATATGGTGAATTTATTGTTTGTTTCTTTACCCTACAAGTTCTGCAATGCAGTTATCTAATGTGTATGCTGTTTCATTATTGGCCGCTTGCACTGTCAAATTTGTTGAGACGGTTCCTTTTTATGGGGAAGATCCTAAGACATGGCAATGTTTTTTTTTTGTTTTGGTGACTCTGTCACACAGACAGCAAATGCAAAGGGAATAACCATGTTGAAGCCTGCACAGCGCAAGCAAGCAACTGCCTACACCATTATTAAGACAATAATGAAATAGTAGTACAAGATAGCAGTACTATTCATATGAATACATAGAATATGTGCAAAATGCGCACTACCACCTTCCCTGCTTTGTTAAAGAAAGAGGTGCACCATGCAGAAAAAAACACTACTAGCATATAAACATGTTTGATGTGAGAATGTGTTTGAATTTGGTTTTGCTCCGTGGGGCCGGGCCTAATTTGGTCCAGTTGAGAGCAAATCGAGGAGTGGCAACGGGCTGCTTGAAGATTTTCAAGAGTTTAGCAACTTGAAATGACCATCGGGCGAAGGTCAAGAACTACAAGGGTAACTGGTAACGAGTCTTTCACTTTTGAGGGCGACTTCGTCCGAGCTGAGCAAGTTGAAAGATAGGAACGTCTTGGGTTTGTCCCATTACCTGTAACAATCAGTAAACATGTGTCACTATTTTTGAACAAGGCCTTTGCCTTTCATAACCATCATCATCCATTGTTACTGGTAATAAGATAGACCCAAGAAACACCCAAATACGGATCTCCCTGTGTGTTTCAACACTGAACTAGCCGTTCTTCTACTATTGCAATGGGGACGGGGAGGTTTTGTTTGGGAATTTGATGGAATTTGGTTTTCCTGAAAGTGGTAGGAAACTTGTTTGTGGTTTGTGGACCCAGAGACAGAATCCCTCGCAGTGTGTGCAATCATGTAGTCCAATTTGCACTGAAGTGTTGTTCCCCCCACCATGGACGCCAATCCAATCAAAAACGTTGGCCTAAACATGCCCAAACCAAGAGGTTGAATGCATGTTGCGCTATTCATATATTTATTATGTTTGCTTCCCACTACCAGGCAAGCCTCCCAACTTAAACATTTTTAGATGTCCAGGAACATGTGGGGGCACACTGTCAAAGATGTTCATTAAGATGTGTCAAAGGATATTGTGACAAAAAACACCCCAAACGTCAAAAGGGACAAAGACAACGCAAACCATCGCCATCGCCCAGTTTGTCAAAACGTCTACTAAGTTGACGGCTCGTCACCATTACGGTATGATATGTAAATGAATCGGGCACGAATATGTAAGGTTCTTCTCATCAAAGGCTGACACTGATATAGCTACGGATAGCACCTGTTCAAAACCTTTTGCTTAGAACATCTACACTATGTATAAATATATATATATATATCACTCAGAACAAAGTCCCCAGCATGCTCTTGGAACAACACATATCTCGAGTGGCCATTCCGAGCGTCCAGACTAGTTCCTGCAACTGCTTGCATCTTCAGACAGTTATTGGAAGTAATAACTCTGCATTCTCCCATGTTCTCAATGTTTTGTATAATGATTTCCAAGAAAGCAAACAAGTTGTTCATTGTTTTAATTCATTGCATGTATGTTCTGGGCCACATGAGCTGGTGCAACTATTGAACACATGTTCCCAGAGGGTTTTGGTGTTTGTCACTATCGATTGATTCTAGCGGCGTAGTTTTGATATACAATAAGCGCGTGACCAAACGAACAGGTACATATCCTGTCGCAGCATGAGACATCACAATTTGATTTACACGTGCAACATGGGTTTCTACGCGGATATGCTTGTCAACACTCATGACCTAAGACTCACATTTTTGTCAAGGTGACGTTTGTTTCTTTAGATGTCATCAGACAGGCGATTGACCACAGTGATAATTTGATATGAACATAAATGAAACACATCGCGTCTCTCTTGACTTGCAGTGCAGTAGCTCTATTGTGTAAAGAATTGTTGATGTGGAACAACAACCCATTTGACTTGCAAGAGCACGCTCTGAGGGCTACATCGCGTGAGACGGGTGACGTGATTCAACTGGTTCAAATACATGTGCTTCATGCTGAGGGCTTCAAGCAGGGCCAAGCAGGGCCACAAGTTCCAGCCTAGAATCTACCCGACACCATGGAGACCGGTGGGGCAAATGGTGGAGACTCCAAATCCCTCTCTGTGAGGCAACAGAGTTTCTGACGCCTTCACTGCTTTGCAAAAGGAAGACGCAAACCTGCGGCGGGTCAGCAAGGATGCGCGCTTTGCTTTGTCCTTTGCATGGGTGGGTTCCTATTTGTATGGTCAAGCCTTCGTTCAGGGTATATCAAGCGAGATGTGCTTTGTTTATGCGCTAAAGAGCTGTACTGGGTACACTACTTGTACCACAATGACTAGGACTATGATGTTTAGGATCACTAAGACCCCTGCTACGGGTGTTGACGACGCTGCTGCCACTGAAGTAACATGGCTTGACGCAAGAGTTTCTCAGATCGACGCACCTATATTAATCAGTTGAACACACTGCCTGCAAGTTTGTAGACATGTCCCACCCCTCTCAAGTTTGCTGACAACAGAAATCTGTCTTAATGTCATGAACCTGACCAGAACGGTTTAGAAGCTTGAAACCTGTTTGTCAGGAGGTGGAAGATGCACGGAAGCGAGAGGAACAAGAGAAGCTGGACTCCCTGGCGATGCAGCACTTTTTGCCCGACATCAAGTCTATTGTGGCTTGACAAACATGCGTTACTTTTTTGAAGGAACTGTTGTGAGCACTGAGTGATTGAAACTAACCGGCCGATGGATGATATCATCAATCGTTGATTCATGGAGTCCAAGAAGTTGTGCAGATTTGGTGCCTAGACCATCTATGGCAACTACCACACGACTTGTCATATAAAAACCGTTCATATGGCAAGGCCAGAATCCTTGATTAAAAAACACGTCGAAAAAAGTCAAATGGAAAAGTCAAAGCAAAAGTCGAAAACAGGTCAAAAATAGACCACTGCTTGAAACAGTCAAAACATAAAAACAAATCAAAATAAACAAGTCAAAAAGAGGTCGATAAAAAGGTCAAAAAAATACAAATTATAAAACAACTCAAAAAATAGATTTAAAAAAGAAAAACGTCAAATGAAAGTCAAACAAGTCAACCACTCGAAAAAGTCCAAACAAGTCAAAAAAAAAGTCGGAAACAAGTCAAAAAAAGTCAACATTAGAAACACAAAAGTAAAGAACAAGTTGGATCTGGGCAAACTAACTTCTTTTGGACTGTCTTAAACTTTCTGATTTGACGTTTTTTCCACTTTGACTTTTGGGACTTATTGTTTTGACCTTCTTAAATATCGATTCCTGTCCCATTTTGGATCGTTTTTGCTTTCTATGTTCGGGATTTGTTTGGCCTCTGAGATTGGGCGAAGGGAGCCACAACTTCCCGAGGTCAACGAGGCAGAAGACGAAGTGGAGAAGGCCTTGATCACCCACGAGATGATTGCCAACGCTGAGGCACTTGCGCCGGGAGCAGACTGGCCGGGCATGCGGAGCCTCCCAAAATGACAGACTCGTCTGAACACCAATGGGTGTTTTACAATGTTTTACATAAATTGTCAAATGTTGTCAAGAATTGTCGTTGAGATTGGTGGCCCAAAGTTCCGATTGGTAGCCCATTAGTGATATGTACAAAGAACTCGCAGAGATACACAGATGATTCACTAGACAGGTGAAAGGGTGAATATCAGTTTTGAGAGCGTGGAAGATGACTTAGCCTGAGGTCAAGAAATATATATATATATATATTAATTCAAGTATGTTTCGGCGGACCCGCTTGACAACCAGGCTCCAGGTTGTTCAAGGTCTACATGTTTTGGAACTAGTGGAACCAGCCACTACAGTGGTTGCCACTACTGATTTCACTTCGGCTGCTCACCGTGTCAATCCTCAGAAGTTGGCCATTTTGATCCATTTGATCGTCAGGCAAGTTGGGATCGTCAGAATGACATCGTTTGCAAAACACATCCTCGTCGGTTCTTGGCATTTCATGATGAAATAAAACCACCCTTCAACACTTGTTTCTCTCAGGATGATTAATTTATTAATGGTGGGTGATCAGCGTTGACCGACCATCTGACAGGAGGACTCCAAACTGCATGCTGTGGAGATGACCGAGGCCGCTTGTGCGAGAGCTCAGCAGGCCCGGCAACCTACCGTGGGAGAGAGAGGCTTGGCGCGGCGCCAATCAGAAGCTGGGGCCTTCAAATGACGTCCCACTCCAGTGGTGAAGAACATGTCGGACAGCTTACTTGCCCGTGAGTGAACTCAGGGATCCCGGTAGATTTATCTGTCATTGTTGACGGAAGATTTCTTTGTTCGTTTTGAGCGCCGCTGGCAAAAAGGCACACTGGTATGGACGGTTGGTGCATCTCATAGAAGCGACATTGAAGAGCAAACTGCAATATTCCACCGGTAGTCACGACCAATCTCCATTATATAGCAAAAACTTCCTATATAATTTCACACACAGGTGACTCCGCTACTTTTGTGTCAGTCTTGATGTCTATACACCAAACCACACTATACACTGATAAGCCCGTGGGCCAACGAACTCTGTCCACTGCTTTCGTCCCCACCATGCTTTGCCCTCGGTGCTTTCTGTGCAGGCACTGGACGGCGTCAGGGCCTCCTTGAAGGTGCCGGCATCATGCGTTCGATCGTCTTTTCTTTGAATTCGATGTGTTTTAAACAATGGATAAGTCCAGTCTTTGGGAAAATTGACAATCAAATTACTGTAAACTAAACTGCTTGGTTTTGGGGTTCTCCAATGTTTGAAAATTGAAAGGACCTCTGGAAACTGGAAACCGGACGTCGAGTCCAATGTAGGCTAAGCGCAGCGAGCTGCCGCAGCTGGACAGTAGCGCTCCTCGTGGAGAACTGGAACTCCAGAGGCACTTCACCAGAAGAAGTCAAACGGGCCTTGTTACGTTCGTAGCTTCTTGCTCCTAGTAGTAATGCCAGGAGCTACGTTCGTAGCTTCTTGTTACTACTAGTATACGGTGCCTTGCAACTAGTAGCGATGCAACACACGGAGAGGAAGGTGCAGGTCTTTGTCTTTTGGGGTGTTCAGGTTCGATGGGACCTCCAGTGGGGACAGATCAAGCTGGAGTAGATGCAAAGTGTTTGGCCAGTTCACCAAAAACGGCAGAGGCTTCTTCCTTTTGGGTGACAAATCCCTTCTGAGAAACCATATGGAAGTCCTTCCAACTCTCGTTGCTCCAATAAACAAAAATCACTGTGATGTGTTGATGGGCAAGGATCCTTCACGTCTCTCGACATGCCTCTTTGCAAACTCATCCCACTAATCAACATTGGGACACCTCAGCAGATTGACACATACATTGCATACTGTATAATATATATATATATACATGATTATATATGTGTATCATATCACAAAAGGTATCCTATGTCATTCTACATCTCCTGGATGTTCAGGTACTGGTTCAATGGAGCGTGAGAGTTTTTGTCGTTTGCAGATTGGAGAAACATTTGCAAGCAGCGCAGCTGAAACTGAAGCCATTGAAGGCAGCACGAAATGAATCTCGGCCGTGCAAGAGGCTTGAGGGATTTCTGAACATGTCAGGGAGCTCAATCCAGTGAGGTCGATCTAGAGAGCCGAGAAAAGGTGGCCAGAGCCGAGGATCTGAAGAACAATGGCAATCCTCGCCCTCACTTCAAGAACGGGAGAACATGGCTTCATTGTTTCATTGTTGTGTGCGGTTCTTAGTTGGTGGTTGGTGCCATGCTCAAGGTTTCACGAGCCATGTCTTGTGTGCGGAATAGAAGCTACACCATTAGGGCCCAAATCAGCTAAACATAACTAGGAGTAAGAATGCTCCTAGTAGCGATGCCAGGAGCCCCTAGTAGCGTCCTTGCTCCCAGTAGTAAGGCCAGAGCCCCTGGTAGCGTCCTTGCTCCTAGTAGTAAGGCCAGGAGCCCCTAGTAGTGTCCTTGC